GAGTGTGAGGGAGAATATGTGCATGCTTAAAAAAGGCATTTTGAGGGAAATTTATCGAAACTGGAGCAGTTGCACACAGCAACTAATCGGTTTCTCTTTTTTTATTTTCAAAGCTCAAAATGAGGAGAGAAGCTGATTGGTTGCTATGGACAATTGCTCCAGATTATGCCTGCTCCAGTTTTGATAAATTCCCCCTTGTGTGTATTTAAATATACATTTATTGTATATATAGTTCTTTTGGAGTGTACGTCCAGCATGTAGTTGTAGTGAAGCATCCATATATACAGCATACATGTATATGAGTTTGTCTTTGATATATATCATTAACACATATATAATTTATGTCTGTGTGCATGCAGCCAGTAAAGCTCTTGTATAGGACCAGCCAGTGTGAAGATGTGACCAGAGAGTGAATGAGGGACCCCCCTCGCGGGAGCGCGCGCTCTTCCTTGTTGTCAGGCAGGTGAGAGAGCGCGCATTCCGCTCTGCTCACCTCCCCGGCGCGCGCCCCCGGTAGGAATAGACGGGCAGCAGAGGGCGCGCGCGCTCCTAGGCAGCAGCAGCAGCGCTGTGTCCCCGCGGTGCGCGCTCCCTGCTGGCAGCCAGGCGGCGGGCTTGACGGTGTGTGAGGAGGACGTAGAGCCGCCATAGAGCTCAGAGCGCTGTAGCGGGGAGGAATGCTCCGGCTCTTGGTGGGGGGATGAGTCAGGCTGGAGGTGAATGAGACGGTGTACATCCCCTGGAGGGGGAACTCATTGAGTGACACACACACAGGAGGAGAGAGTGCTGCTTCCACTCACTGACATGTATGTATACTGTGTGTGCGGGTATAGTTTCCTTCCATGAGGGGACTCGCATATGTGTTGTATATCCTATATACTGTCCTTGTCTGTGTGTATACTGACATCTCCGTATGTTATATATACTGTCCATGTGTGACTGTGTTATCTTCATCTATGTATAGTGTCCTCATACATGTATACTGTACAGTGTCTGCATCATACATGTGTATACTGTACAATGTCTGCATCATACATGTGTATACTGTACAGTGTCTGCATCATACATGTATACTGTACGTCTTCATCACATATTTAGGATGTCTTTCCTGCTGGTCCTGCTGACATGTATGTATCCTCTGTGTCTATGGTCCTCTCCATGTATGAATTCTATTATCTATTGTGTGTGTGTGTGTGTCTTTTGTTATGTGAGGAGTGCTCTGTCTGTCTCCTGTTGACATGTATGCATACTCTTGGGGTCACCTGTCATGTATGTAAACTCCCTTGGTCACCCTGTCATGTATGCATGCTTTTGTTCCTCTGTCATGTATGTATACTTTTGGGGTTCCTCTGACATGTATACTCTCTAGGTCACCTTGTCATGAATGTATACTCTCAGGGTTTCTCTGTCATGTATGTATACTCTTGGGGTTCCTCTGACATGCATGTATACTCTGTGTCTCCTGCTGACATGTATGTATACTGTTGAGCTCCTTCTGACATGTATGTATATGGTCTCGCTGCTGCTCTGTGTCGTCTATCTTCCTGATATGTATGTAAACTGTCTCCTGGGCAGGTCTGCATCTTCTTTACCTGTATGTGTCATTCTTCCTTATATGTATGTGTGCTGTTTTCCTGTCATGTGTGATATTATCTGACATGTATCTGTGTGTGCTGTCATTAGTGACTCTTCCTGGCATGTATGTGTGCTGTCACATGCTCATGTATGACTTCTGACATGTTTGTATGTGTGCTGCCATCCCAACATCTGTGGCTCTTCATGCATGAGTGTGTGTTTTTGTTGTGACATGTATGTATGTACGTTTTTGTTGTGACATGTATTTATGTGTGCTGTCATCTTGCCATGTGTGACTCTTCCTGACATGCATGTATATGTGCTACTATCAGGTCTTGTGTGTGTCTTCCCATGTTCCTCTTATACTGTGGTCGTGGTTTGTATGATCTTGTTCTTAGCATATGATTACCATTCCTCTCCTGATCTGTCCGGTGCCTTTCTGCTCTCACACGGCTTTCATATGTATTGTTTGCTTTGCTATCACTTCCATTCCAGTTATATATACCGCTCACTTTTATCTTACATGTATGTGTATTTATCTTCCCGCCATGTATGTGTTTGCGATCTCCATGTATATTCCAATCTGTGTGCCCTCATCACAGAATAAGGGGCATGATGTTTTCCTATGCACAATATGTTCTACTTAATGTGTGTACCGTGTGCCTTTCCCTGTCTCGTATCATGCTTCTGATATGTGAACGTTGTCTTTCGCCATGCATACCATGTTGTTAGTCCGACGTTTACAATATATGTTACTGTACCGCAGTCAATGTATGTATAATGTATGTTGCTGTACCGCAGTCATCCCATGTATCTTCTCTCTGGCTTAGATCACCCCATCCTCATCATGATATGTTGCATGTCCTCCTTTTCCTTCTATTGTTATAACATCCTCATTCTTAGTGTGTACATGTATCCGACACCCCGAATGTCTCACCTTCTTGTTGTGTACATGTATCAGACACCCCGAATGCTTCAACTTGGTGTGTGCATGTATCGGACACCCCGAATGTCTCGCCTTCTTGGCCTGTACATGTATCAGACATCCCAAATGTCTAACCTTCTTGGTGTGTACATGTATCGGATACCCCGAATGTCTCACCTTCTTTGTGTGTACATGTATCAGCCACTTCGAATGTCTCACCTTCTTTGTGTGTACATGTATCAGCCACTTCGAATGTCTCACCTTCTTGGTGTGTACTTGTATTGGACACCCCCCGAATGTCTCACCTTCTTGGTGTGTACTTGTATTGGACACCCCCCGAATGTCTCACCTTCTTGGTGTGTACTTGTATTTGACACCCCGAATGGCTCACCTTTTTGGTGTATAAGCCACTTCGAATTTCTCCCCTTCTTGGTGTGTACTTGTATTGGACACCCCCCGAATGTCTCACCTTCTTGGTGTGTACTTGTATTGGACACCCCCCGAATGTCTCACCTTCTTGGTGTGTACTTGTATTTGACACCCCGAATGGCTCACCTTTTTGGTGTATACTTGTATCAGCCACCCCGAATGGCTCACCTTCTTGGTGTGTACATGTATCAGCCACCCCGAATGTCTCACCTTCTTGGTGTGTACATGTATCAGCCACCCCGAATGTCTCACCTTCTTGGCCTGTACATGTATCGGACACCCTGAATGTCTCACCTTTTTGGTGTATACATGTATGGGACACCCGGTATGTCTGTCTTTTCCTGGCTTTGGCTGTCTTTCTTCGAGTGTCCCTCCATCTAAAACTGGTTGAGATTCTGAAAGATGGCACCCGGTTAATTCCATTGCTAAGATCTCGTTGTCACCCGAATTCCGCATGCCGTGACCATTACCATTGAATTGAGGTCCTACAATTACCAGGAGGCCCTATAATAAAGAGGAGGCCTTACAATGGAGAGGAGGCCTTACAATGGAGAGGAGGCCCTACAATGGAGAGGAGGCCCTACAATGGAGAGGAGGCCCTACAATGGAGAGGAGGCCAGCAAACGCCCAACATCCGGCACCAAAACGTCCAGTCCCGGCTCTCACAGTGAAGGATATTTGGGTCGCTCACCCTCCACCTCCTCCATTCATAAAATGTCTTGTATTCTTTTCACATAAAACAAGGTGTTCTGTAATTGGACCAGGTGGACATTGTGACATTCACCCCCTGCCTCCCCTCGTCCAATCACAGAACGCCTTGTATTCTGTGAAAACAATACAAGATGTTTTATGAATGGAGGAGGTGTAGTGCGAGCGACACGCTTAGCCTCCACCGTGTGCACTGAATGAGAGTCCAGACTGTAAAGCCGGCCACACGCTGTAATGTTTTATTTGTTGAACCTGAGGGCTGAATGAAGAAAATGTAACATCACTTACAAGCGTTGATTGAGGAATCTCACGCTGTCTTCATTGTATTCTGAAGGTGACCACTGTCAGAACACCCGAACAGGGCCTGGAGCTGATTGGCTGCTGCCTCTGTTCGTTTGAAAGAGCTCCTTTGATCAGTTGATTGAGGGATGCCGGCCATAAGGGTTGCACTGTGCGAAGCGCCCGAAACTTGCATAGTGTCTTGATCGTGTTCAGAAGCACGGGCGGAATTGCGGTGGGGAACTGCACAATCTGCCCAGCGCGACTGGGGTGCCATTGGAAAATAATGGCACCCACGGCGTGATCAGTGCACACCTGGGCGACTCCTGACCATGCGTCAATCCACGTGAAATTGTGCACGATTGCCGCACGGGGTGTACACTGGCCCTGAAAGCTGCTGCTCTAACACTCTCTGAAAAGCGATCCATTGGGAATCTCTTTTCATAGGGGTGGTAAAAACTGCCGCCTGTCTGAACGAGGCCTTAATCTCGGCGCCAGAAATTCGGCGCTTACTGTAGTGTCGGGGGCTGAATGAAATAAACATGTTTAACTAACAAGGACATCATGGGACACGGGACACGCATCTTTAGAGGGCATTTACATAGCAAACGTGCAAAAAATATAATAGTTTTTCCCCCCGTTGTTTGCATGGATGAATCCTTTTTATGATGTATTTGTCATGCGTGTAGTATGTATGTTTTCTCTTACACATATCTGTCCAACTCACTAATTAGATTTGCTTAATATACACTTCCTGCTGTTTATCCCTCATACTACTAGAACCATTCTTCATGTATGTTACAGCCACCATCTGTCATGATCACATTACTAGTTTGGCATGCTTGTGCTGAATTAGATACAGCCTATAAAATCCCTGAGCATTGTCCTTTCAGACGTGGACAAAGATGTTAACGTTCCCGGAGACAGGCAGTCCAGCCAATCAGCCAGCGGATGATTTTTAGGGTTCGTAGGAGCATTTCCATTGCCGCCATAGAAAGTGTTTTGGTTGCCTGGCTCCTGGGAATAATCCTGCTGGCTATTGACAATGGGCGTCACGTGAGTCTCCTGTCTGTGTAGTTCCCCGTATCACATGTGTGTTGTCTCTGCGTTCAGTCCGCTTATATTTCAGGTGTTTTTATATGACTTCCTGAATTGTCGGCTGAGTGTCATGGAGCTGGATTCATGTGCGGTATTATGTATCAGTAAGTGGATACAATGTATGTTTGTTATCGGGGGAATATGACACTTGAGAATCTGTTTGGCATGTAGATTTTGCTCAAGCGATTTACTGTATATTTACATAGAAAACTAATGCAATCCCGTTCAGCCGGTTCTCTTTCGGGGAAATGTGTTCACCTTATTGTACCATAACCTGTGTGTCTACCTAGTAAATCCTTAATTTATATTTGTGTAATAAAGGGATAGAATGCATTAAATAGCTTTAGGGGAAAGACATTAAAATATATTTTGGCTGTGTCTGTGGATTACCAGCACCTCCCTGTCTTTGGAGTAACTTGTTCAGTGGCTACAAAAGGAATGTTGTATATTCATTTTGTTAAAGTGAACTTGTACTTTAAAGTGACACTAAACTCAGGAGTTGGCTCTTAAAAATACATTCATGAACCTTAATTATTAATAACAATGTATCTTATTTGTGTATCACTCGGCTGTAGATCCTCCACTCATCTCTGAATTGGTGCTGACACTGTCCTTCCTTCTGGAGGGGGGCTACTACTGTTCCCCATGTTCCCTGTGTGTGGAAAAGAAGTCCCCGCTCCAAGCTCACTCCTGTGACGGACTACAATCTCAATACAAATCAGTAAACTAAACATGAGATTGTAGTCCATCCCGGGAGTGAGCTTGGAGCGGGGACTTCTTTTCCACACACAGGGAACATGGGGAACAGTAGTAGCCCCCCTCCAGAAGGAAGGACAGTGTCAGCACCAATTCAGAGATGATTGGAGGATCTACAGCCGAGTGATACACAAATAAGATACATTGTTGTTCATAGTTAAGGTTCTTGATGTATTTTTAAGATTTAATTCCTGGGCTTAGTGTCACTGTAAAGTAGAACAAAACATTTACTCTCTCATGTTTTACTCTCTCATTGTATAACATACAGATAATATTAAAGGTGCACTGAAATTAAAATTTCAAAACCAAAATTTAAAAAATTGTCAGGCCGAAAACAAAAAAGTTTTATTTTTTTAACTTTTTCAAATTTTTTCAAATATCTTATCTTATTTTTATTTTTTTTTAAAACTTTTTAATTTTTTTGTATTTATAAATTTTTTATTAAATATCTTTATTTTTTACTTTACTTTTAGGGAAATCCTCTATACTGAGTGTTCCTGTTCATTCATAACATGAGGACAGAGTATATTTACTATAACCACAATCATGAATGAACAGGAGGTGATGTAGATCACTTCCCATTCATTCATAATTGAGAATATAGTAACCATACTCTGTCCTCAATTATGTACAAACACTCAGCGATCAGTGACTGCTTGTACCCGCTCTCCATGCTGACAGGAGACTGAGCGAGCGGTGCAGGGAGGAGAGCCCCGCCTCCTGTGACAGCGCGGGCTGTCTCCGCCCACATACCGCTCTCCTGATCTGTGAGAGGAGGAACAGCGGTGTGGGAGGAGAGACGCCGGCCGCTCACAGCGCTCGGCCGCCTGTGACAGCTTCTCTCCTCCACACTGGGACACAGAGCAGCACCCAGCGGGGAGGAGAGAAAGAATGTGCCATTTTCGTCCGATATGTTTTGGCGGCCGATATATATCGGTGCATCCCTAGATAGTACTCCATCAGGTTGTGGAGCTGGGAGGTTGGCTAATATGCAGGCTAGCTGCCCACAGGACTCGGATAAATGCCAAAAGCAATGCCTTCATCTGACATTAGATCTAAAATTGAAGCGTCATACCACAGATTAATGTTCCAGATACAGTTTTATTCCAATATAGGATCAGATAGAAGATCAAAAAGAGGAATTCAACGTGATTTGGGGGTTCCAAAACTCCCTTCATCAGGGCTTAGAAAACATAACTAAAGAAACATCTAAATCAATAAAATGTATCAAATAAAATAAGTTTATAAATTACAATAAATATATAGGGGGCTGCAAGGGTTAACTGCTCATTTGTGTCTAGGTTAAATAAAAGCTCACCCAAAGCTCCAAGCCGGCTTCTTCTTAGACCGGTCCCTGGAATGGTGTGTCTCCCCCTCCTCTGCAGCGGTCTAAGGGCCAGTAAATCACATCTATACACTGTGCATAGACATGAGGACACCGAGGAACATTCCAGTCTGCTGCAGAGGAGGGGACAGGCTGGAGGGAGCGCTGTGACAGCTGACCGGCTTGGAGCTTCGGGTGAATATACATTTGCTATTTTAG